TAATATGAAAGCAACAACAACAGCAACAACAACAACTCATTGCTCCAGCCTACAATAATATATATATATATATACAATATAAAATGAAAAATGTTATAGAATATTTATATTAATACCTAAAAACCCATAAAACCATATTATGTCGCTATGTTAGGGAATTCGTGGTTGGTAAAAAAGAATAATAATCATAATTGTTATATTTTTGGCTTTTGTCAATGTGCTAACAGAGTGCTCTGTTATGCCAGTCATCTTGTGTAGCAGTGAATTCTGGACAATTTCCTCACAGAGGAAGAGAAAGCTGGAGGCAACAGAAGTGGTTCTACAGAAGGATGCTGTGAATATCACAGACGAAGTTTGTAAGCAACGAGGAAGTCTTAATTAAAATGGAAAAAAAATACAAAAATAAAATATTTATAACCAGATTCAGAAAGAGTCAGCTGAAATTTCTGGAAAACATAATGAGGAAGGAGAACTTGGAGAATATGACACTCATAGAACATATCGAACGCAATAGGAACAGAGGAAGGCAACGGGTGACCTACCTGACAAGCTTATGTGAACTTACGCTCTCAACAAGGGACTCAGTAAGTAGTAGAATTGTTCACCGCGTAGTATGGATATTCTGTTTTGGGATTTTTATAACAACAATTCCCAAAGTGAAGCAGAGTATTAAGATAGAGAAAAAATTCGTTAGAAACAAAGAAAAGTGTACTGAACTGCTACGTAATATCTGTTCCCTTATATGACAGTGAATGCTGGACAATCTCCTCAAAGATGAAGAAGAGACTTGAAGCAACAGAAATGTAGTTCTACAGAAGGATGCTGAGGATCCGATTGACCGAACGTATGAGCAACGGCGAGGTTTTGAAAAAAATAAAAATAAAAATAAAACTTAAAATCAGGAAAAGGGAAATGAGATTTTTGGGGTACGTAATGAGAAAAGAGGGTTTGGAAAAATTGATACTCATGGGAAAGAGGAAAAGAGGAAATCAATGTGAAACATACTTGATGAGCTTGAGTAAAATGGCGGGAGAAATGACAAAAAGACAAAAACTACTAAGAGGGACAGGAAGATATGGAGAGCCATGATCGTCAATGTCCTGGGGAGGAACACGGTACATAAGAGTAGAAGAAGTACATAGCAACAATTCTGTTAATGTTCAGGAGGACGTTTTGGAGAGTTCAAAATGTAGGTCAGACGATTCGTCTGGGAGTTATGAAGCGATTAATCCGACATTGAAAAATGTCTGATGGTCTTTTGCGTTCAGCTGCCTGTAAAAGCCGACGGACTCAGTTGCCGAAAGATTCACTATAATGTCATGAAAAAATAGCATAACTTGCCATCGTAATAATAATAATGATAATTTTAATAATAATAATAACAATAATATCTATAGCATTTATATATAATTATACTCATATTGGACAATATTATTGTAATATCATCTCAGTGTTTAAAACAATAATCAATTTGTATTTATGTTATATTCATTTTTGCTTTACTATTTTATTTATTATTTATTTTTTTTTGATCATTAATACAATTCAATATGAACCCCATAATGACCTACATTATGTGCTGTGTCCATTCCTGATATAGATGATCATGGCTCTCCACAATTTCCTGCTCTTAGTGGGCATTAATTGGTTTTAAGTAAAAATCTATAATAAATACTTGATTTTTCTTTAGAAATCCATAATAAATACCGAATTTTTTTTTCTCGAATTCTTTAATAAACACCAGATTTAAAAAAAAAATCCATAAAAAATACCGGACTTTTTCTAAATCTATAATTAATACAGGATTTTTTAGGCACATATAATAAATACCGGTTTTTCTTTTTAAAAATCTATAATTAATACCGGTTTTTTTTGGGAGGGGGAGGAATCTATAAGATATACCAAATCTTTTTTTTGGAAACCTATAATTAATGACAGAGATTTTTAGAAACCTATAATCAGCACTGCTGTAGCATACCTACAGACGCTAATGGGTATGTCCCCATTCACATAAATATTCTATGTTGGTCTGCAGTTCGAAATTCATTGTGAAATTCATTTGACTCACTTCTGGCAGTTTACTACTTCTACGCGCTGCTGGCGAATCTTATTTGTGTTGTTCTTGTCCTAAGTATTATCGTTCATTACCAACCTACGTGTGATTATTCTATTCAGTAACCTTCTCTGGGTTACAAGATTTTGGTGACGAGGATTAGCTGAAATTATGGCAAAAACCGAATTGTTTTAAAAAATATAATTAATTCTAGATGTTTTTTTAAAAATTACAATTAATAGTAGATTTGTTGTTCCTTTTTAAAAATCTATAATTTTCTTTTTAATCATTTCATCCTAAGGAAGGCAGTGAAGCTACTAAGCCACAAGCGTGTTACTGAGTGAGAGAATATGAAAAAAAATATTAAGGCGAGGGAATAATAAATGAACAGTAATTAATAAGACAAAAGATAACAACGTAGCATTTAAATTTTGAAGATAAAATTTGACAGGAAGCAAGAGGCTGAAAGACAGTTTCAAAAGCGGGAAATGTGAAAAAAGAAACTGTTAGCATAGAACTTGCAGTTACGGCTAACCATTTCAACATTAAATGCTGAGATCGAGATGCTAATGTAGTAAAATCATAAAGTATATGTGGAAAGAAGAAAATGCATCATAAAATCTACCATGAAAATATTTATAGAAAAGGTACAGGAAAGCTACATTAGAGTGGTGGAATAATGGATAACGGCTTGGGTTGAGGAATCGTAGAGCCAAGTTCGAATTCCAGTCGAATCCATTACATTCACTTACATGCTAATATCCTTGGGAAAGGTATGAATCCTCTTCTTCTCCCCCAGCTATGGGTAAATAACAAGACAGAGCGGGTTCTATAGCCTTGAATGTCAACTGATCTACAACAGAAAGAAATGGCAACCTACTGCTTTGAAAAAATCTGGCTCGTCATTCATGTATCGAAAGATGCATGATCACCTAAGCGTGTATCACGTATGGCACATAACTGACAGAGATTCGGGCAATAGGAAAGGGACTGTAACCGAGATGCCAGCTCAGAACTGATAACATTGCCGATTTTTCTTTGAATTTTATCAAGAACCTCTAAATACATAGCAGATGCACCAGACCAGATGTGACAGATGTTCAATGCATGGACGAATAGTGGATTTACAAAAAATTACTAAAAAACTTATTTAGTACGACGCAGTGAACCAACTTTCCTAGCAGCAGGCCTAGCAATTGATTCAATATAATCTTTCCACTTCCTATCATCAGAAAACGTTGAACCCAGAAGGCGCAATGAGTCACTCTCCTGAAGATTAGCATCAGCCATGCTGACGGGGGACAAAAGAGCTTCTCTACGATGATTAAGAAAACAGTTTTGTTTTGGAAGCGTTAAGATTAGCAAGCCATTTGTTGCCCCAGTTAACAACAGATCGTAGGACATCTTTTAGATTAGCTGCTAATTTGACCTTATTGAACCAAACTTAATATTAAAACAAAAGTAAATAGTTGTGCCATTAGCATAGATACCATGGATTTAGTACAGGATTTGTATTTTAATTATTATAATCAATACTGTGCTTTATTATTATTTACACTATTTATATTCATACTCAATCTACCCACGTAGATTAAGTAAAGAGTTCAGTTCGGAACAGGTTACCCAGATCGATATACACCTGAGGGAGACCGGAAGGTACAACAGTCGAAACTTTGTGATAACAGCAACAAAGATGAGGACAATAGTCAGGATATAAATTGTGTAAATAGTATATACTTTAGTTTTATTGATTTTACGCTGTTCAAAGAATAACAGCTTATTTTACGCCGCTTAAGTGAAAGATTACCTCATTGTGATCATAAAAATTGCATTTCTTGTTCCAGTGTTTTGAACGAAACCACAATCTTCTTGTTCTATTTCCGGTTTAATTCTCTTAAGGATTTTATTCATCAGATTAAAGGAATGTGTGCTTAACCAACTACGTATCTATGGTTATCACGATAGAATTAATATAAACTGATTCAACATATCGATTAAAGGTGTTTGCTCCAAAGTGATGGTTAGCATGCCAGATTTTCAAAACACTGCTGATTTGCAGAATCTCTAAGACTATCATTATTTCTGCTGTTATTATTTGCATAAAATTTTAGCCGTTTATTTCTATGGGTATCGTTAGGCAGAATGTTCTTCCATTGTCGAACCTATCACTAATCTACCATCTGTGATGTTTCTGATTGTGTAATTCTCCTCAATTCACGCTGAGTAACACACACTCACAGCTTTTGGCTGAAGAAGGATGTAGAATGCATTGGCTGAGTGGTTGTGAAAATATCAATAACATAGATAAAGATAGTCCAAAAGTGTTCATTGAATATTAACATTCAATTCATTTCAAAGCACATTGGCATAGGTAAGATTAGTCTGACCATTACTATTGAGTAGTGAGTTCGATCCTCACCAGGTACCCAACGCCAAATATTCAACATTAAGTAACCCAACAATTAAAGAATCTAACACATAAAAAAATCATTGCTTTTCATTGGTAACTCTGTTATTGTGATCTTGTGTCAGACTAGATTAAGTATATTAAATATCTACTCTATTATGGCACTCGCTGCAAAATGCCTAATCTCGAAAACCATTATGAATGAATGTATTTTTCATTTGGCATTCCAATAATGTGGCCTTGTGCCAAACTTAGAGAATATATTCTCTATCACAGCATATATGACACAGAACACTAGTTAACAGTCTAGTCCTCCAAAACACTGATAGTAATTTTTTACTGTGGTCATACGATTAGATTTAATAAATGTTTATTAATGGTGTGCAGTGTAGAACGAGAGTTAATAAATTAGTGTCAGAAATCATTGAGAATAATTTTATCCTCGTCTAAGTGCTCTAGTTTCGTGGCCTAGTGCCAGAATTGTCCAGTGTAAATAATAAACGTCTTCTTCAAAAGAGAAAATCATAAAGCAAATCTTACCAGAGAAAATGCCGCACAAAGCACGCAGGGTTGCATAAACTAAACAAGTCTCGGCAGTTACCATGGTGATCTGGAAACTCAATGCCAAGCCCATAGCAATAAACATGATTGGTCGTCGGCCGAGGGTGTCAGCCATAATTCCTCCAATCAGAGCACCAAGAACTAACGCAATGAGAATCACGGTGAGTCCATTATCGGTTGACATCACATCTTGGCAGCGAACGTTGTACTGAAGAATAAAATAAAAAAGAACACAAAACAAAAACAAACAAAAAAAAAGAAAAAGAAAAAATAACTAAAAAACAAAGAAAAGAAATAAAAAACAAAAACAATGGTCGTCAGATCGGACAAAAGTAATAACGTTAAGCAGTAGGTTCACCTATCGCCCGATTCACACTCCTCCCAGGTCTTTTGAACAGGAGTAGAGGTTTATCCTTTGTTTCCTGTTTAGGATCGGGTTTCCGGTTTCTTCTAAAGTCTAATTCCGCTTTAAACTGCTAATGCTTGCCCTCCCCTAGGCTCATACAACACCACACAATAATACTCTATCTTGAGAGGTTCTTCGGCCTTGTATTGGGTGAACATTATAAAGAATATATATTTTGGGATAATAAAACAAAGAAATATTGTTATTTTAGTTAATATTTCAACATATTTTTTCATCATCATCAGAATGTTGTGAATGCATTGCTTATTCATGCACAATTAATAAGAAGTAAATAGACTAAAATGGGATAACATGTTCAATATGATGGTGGATAGAATTTCATACCATAAGTAAAATAAAACTTGATTAGACGAAATTATGTCTGGCCATTCTACAAGTGCTACTGGTACAATGCAACCCAGTATTCCGTGCCGCATGCTTAGGTCAGCGGCAAATAGACCAGCTCCCCCACCAGGCTTTATAGGGTCAACGGCCATCAAGCACAGTGAGGTAGATTGGACTCCATAGCAATGTAAGCAGCCGGTGCAGTGATGAATTTGGCATCGCTGGGCGAAGGGCTTCCTAGACCTAAGCGAAATATTCCACCAATGGAATGAAAGGTCATGGCTCTGTAAACGAGGGCAGCGTCTGTGGTTTGACCTGGAGGGGGATGAGCATCGCTTGGTCTATTTGCCCTGGACATGCTCTGCACGAATGCATACTATTCTCTTTCGTATTCCATTGGTGTGATGCAATTTCTACTCAGCAGTTTCTTCCCAGAAACCGCTCGTTTGTGGAACCGACTATCAAGAGATTGTTTCCCCGATCACTACAATCTTAACCTAAGTCTATGGTCAACCGTTATCTTCCCCACATATTCTCATAAAATCTGCCTCTTATTCTGTACTACTCTACCTCGAGTGGCTCTTGAGTCTTATAGAAAGTGAATACTATTATAAAAGAAAACGAAAAAAAAGATATACATATGTGAGCTGGTTAGGTGATCCTACGACCACATCTGGCTATGGGACTGATGGTAATAGTTAATGATGAAAACAGACTTTTATTTATCAGATATGACCGCAAATGAGTTAAATAACAGGATCCAGGGAATTCTGAGTTTGACGGAAAACAATCAAGAAAAGGAACATTTAAGAGTCAAAGCACGGGATTCACGGTGGAGTAATGGATAACGGCTCGGATTGAGTTCGAATTCCAGTCGAATCCATTACATTCACTTTCGTGCTAATACCCTTGGGAAAGGTATTAATCCTTGTTTTCTTCTCCCCACCCCGAAGCTATGGGTAAATATCAGGACAGACCGGCTTCTATAGCCTTGGATGGCCACTGGTCTACTGCAGAAAGAAATGACAAAAAACATCTGCCTCGTCAGTCATGTATCGAAAGTTACATGATCGCCTAAGCGTGTATCACGCATGGCACCTAACTGAAGAGTCAAAATGAAAAATACCTTTTGAATCAGAACTAAACATTTTCAATTAACAAGCTCTCGTGTGAAATTCAACCGAATTTTTTTTTTCACAAAGAAATATTAACCCAAGATTCTCTGACTTTACAAAGATCACTTGATATTTTCTTATGTCAACCCATCCAAATAAAACAATCTTTCACACCTGAGGCAACAACGTTTCAGCTTTTTATATCACCATCCAATACTTTCAATATTTCTTACCAAAATTCAAATTAAAATAATGTTTTAGAGTAATGATCACTCAATACAAGGCCCAAGAGCCACACAAGGTAGAGGTTTACTGTGTGGCGTTGTATGAGTGTAAGAAAAGGGAAGAAGTCAAGTTCATGGATTTATGCAGGAAAAATAACGATTATCTTGAAGAGGTCGTGACTGGGGAAACATGCAGCCGAGAGTCGGTTCGACAAAGAAGCTGTCCTAGTGGATCTTATTTTTTAATATAGGAATACAAAGGGAATGGAGACGATTCACCCTAGTGTAGGTGGCATGGTGGGTCCCAACTGTAAAGATCAGTGATGGTGGGACTAAGAGTTGTAGCTCATCAGAATAAAAAAAAAGCACTATTCAAAAGAATTAAGTTTGAAAGACTCTTTTTTTTTTTTAAATTGGTTAATCCGTTAAAAAACCGTATTGAGAAAAATTGATCGTTTTGTTCGATTGAGGTATTTTTCTGTTACAAAAGCCAAGATGTAAAGCGTTTCACCATAGCAACAAACAACATCTGTCCTACCATTGTTTCTATTATCACTAATTCCGCTTCATCGTTTTCGTATTTTGTCGACAAATAAATATATTTTAATCATTTACTAAGGAAGATTGATTATCCCATTACAATACAAATTAATAAAAATCGATGTTGCTTTTGTTCAACATTTGTTTCTTTCTGCAGAGATGCGATGAAGTTGTGAGTCGCTCAGCAGCGTTAAATACTAAATTATATATACCACCAATCGTGCCTAGTAAAGTTTCTAAAAATCTACGATGATTATACCCACGATAGTATGCTGGGATACAATCCCAAGTTTATAGTGGGTTAGTGCTAAGTCACGTGCGCTTAAACAAAATGGGTGACAGCTTCTGAAGGGAAATAACCGCGACAACCTATTTAAATATATTTCATATCCAAATAGAAAAAAGTAGAAATAAAGAAAAAGAAGTGTTTGAAGACAATGTGCGTCTGCGAACTTAGCTTAGAAGAAATGGCATCCTATTATAGCTCATTTTTATTTAACAGCTAGCTTTTTTTAGATAGTTGTAATTTCTCTTAACGTTACCAACTCCCTTCATCCGGAACTTAATAACCTTGTCTAGGGCTATCGACGAAGAGAGCAACGTTATATAACTTTGTTTAACCGGCTGGAAGAAATAAAAGATGGGTCTTTGAATTTGGTGCATATACAGCCAGTGTCGGGTGACCCTTACAGGGGCAGTGATTACTCCTTTTTTTAGCCAATCAGCATATTCGTTTTATTCTGTGCTTGATTAACATTATTTACCTAAGTACGAAGTGAATATAACGAACCCAACAAGAATTAGAACTCAGCACTTCGATTAACAATTCTGAGCCATTATTCAGCACACCACCCACACAACCAAGCTTGCAGCATCTGGTATTTCTAATCGGTTACCCATCTTGGTGGTGACCAGGCTCGACGTTGCTTAACATCGGTGATCGTACCCAAGTTTAAATGTCCTAGCCTGCTTTACCATTTTGTCCACAGATGGGTAAGAAAGGAGAAGACATAATTTATCCCTTTCTCGAAGACATTATTATAAATAGTCTCGGTTTAAATTTGAACTCACTGTACCGATTCCATTTTACATGCCAACACGGTGGAGTAATGGCTCGCGGCTCGGATTGAGGAATCGGAGAACCGAGTTCGAATTCCAGTTTACGTGCTAATAATACCCTTGGGAAAGGCATGAATCTTCTTCTTCTTCTTCTTCTTCTTCTTCCCCGGGTTTAAATAGCCTTGAATGGCAACTGGTCTCTCGCAGAAAGAAATGGCAACATACTGCCTCGTCATTCATGTATCAAAAGATACATGATCGCCTAAGCGTGTATCACGGCACATAACTGACTGAACCATTACGCCAAACGTACCTTCAAGTATTACCGGTATACTGTAGATCGAGGGATTTCATGTCCCCACCATTTTTACAAATGGAATGCTCCATCCGTCTGGCACCCTCTATTAAGTGTCGTTCGAATCGGTGTCCACACTGACTCACTAGTATAACTAGCATCGATCTGGTAATGTCCATGGCATCGAGGTACGGTGGCACCAAATCAACACCCTTTCGCAGCACTTTTATTGCGTGAAATAGCTTCACGAGATAAAAGGGGTGTTGATATTCTTTTGGAGATCAAGCGAAAGAAATTGAAAACTAAAACACAGAACGACACTCCCTAAAACCGTATCTTTATCTGAAGCTTAATTCTATTACTGGAGAATGCCTTAGTTAAATATTGAAAATCACTCGTGCCGCCAGGCGACATGAGGTCTGGAAGGCGAAGCAATAAACAGTAAAACAGTCTTCAGATATAGGACGTATCTCAGAAAAAACATCGAGACGAAAGGGCAAGCGTACAAAATTGTTTTGTGTGGTCAATAGGTCATTTCCAATTTTTCCCAGTATTAAACCTACAGACGTTCAAATTAAAGTTGATTGGTATGACAGAATCTGTGATTGGATAAACGTCTTAGATCGGTGCAAAGCCGTAGTAGTGAGACAACTAGTGGGGAACGTACCCACTATACCTGTCATCTGATCATGCTTACTAAACATTACGCTACGGTAGTCACAGAATCAGTTCACAATTTTTGCTAATTTATTAAATTTAGGTTAGACTGGAGCAAAGCCATAGTGAGAAACCTACCGAGGATCGTACCCACTATAGCAGCCATCTGAGCAGTCGACGTGCTTACTGAACATCGCACTACGGTAGGCACACAAACACGCCACAATCTAAGCATATTTATTAAAATAAAGGATCGGGACGAGAAATTGGGGAATAACGTTCGAATTCCGGTCGAAGTCGTTAGATTTACACTTGCACAAATAATCTTAGCAAGGTATGAATTAATCTCTTTCCCCACATATATAGGTTAAATAGCAGATCTGATTCGGCTCTATAACGTCACTGTCGTTGGCAACCAATCTAGGAGACGAAAAACTGAATTCAAAAGCGTATAGTGAAGCACATGCATCGAAAGGATTGTGGTGTTCTCAATGACTATAATCCCGACTGTGGTCAATGAATTGCTAGAAACAGAGTAGTCTG